AATGAGGTCTTGGATCAAGGGGCGGGTTAGGTGGGCACGTTAGGGAGTTGGTGCTCGTGAAGTGCGGCGTCGACAAGTGAGGTCGTGGATCAAGGGGCGCGTTAGGTGGGCATGTTAGGGAGTTGGTGCTCGTGAAGTGCGGTTTCGAACTGCCCACACACATAATGGATATTTTTTTCTTAATTCACAAAGGCACTTTTATCAGGAAGGCGAAAAGGAAAAAACGAATCGTTCGTACTAAACTTTGAATCACCTGGAAATGTCGGCGACAAAGATCGCATCATCGTACTCGATCCACCAAGACATCCATCATCGCCTGTCTTAACCATCCAGAAGAGACGGCCCTGGAATGACCAGGCCCAGACGGACTGTGCAGTGCGCTTGTTGTCATCGCCGCTCTGACCACAAACTCTGCAGACACAGGACCACAAGCAATCAACGAGGAAGTTAATTCGGCAGGTTGACAAGAACAAACAACCCGGCCCAATGTTGAAAACCCAACGGGCTGGAACGTGGGAGAAGGCCGACCTTGGAACACGCGGAACAAGTTGGGGAGTTAGGCCTGCACAAGTCACCGAAGCTGAAGGATGTTATTCCAACTCATCGGAGAACCTACAATGGGAGAGGAACCAGAAGCTACTATAGCTGCACAAGAGAGAATGATCTTCAACATTTCTGGACACGCGACTGAGTTACCCGCTCCGGAGGAAGAGCCTCTAACCGAGCGCGAACCCCGCCTTATCCCGGTCACGTTGGACGGAAGCAGCTACATTTGCCTTAACACAAGAGGAGCAGTGATTGGCGTCGCCGACTTCGTAGAAGACGAAGTCACTGAACCTGAAGGCCGACGTGGCGTCAGATCAACATTTTCGGAAAGGCCACAGCAGCTTCCCGTGTCAACTGACACCAAGCAATCGGTGATTCTAGCGGAATGTATTACGGAACAAGACTTGAAGCTCTTCAGGCGGCAACGGTTGAAGTCTTTGTTCTGGAAGACCCTATGGATGAAGAAGGAAAAGAGACTAGCTCGGGAAAAGAAGCCGTATGCACGCACATCAGAATATCGCGTTGACGCTGACATCTGACACAAACGACTCGGAAATCCCTTGGTGGAAACCCTCAACAACTGTATCGATATGAAGGTGTTCACTGACAATATGTTGCTACTGCCTGACAAAATATTACTCAAGCCCAGGGAAGACCTACCCAGCTGTACCGTCTGCCTAATTGTCGTTTTGACTCACTCACCCTTTCCGAAAAAGGGTCCTAGTGTAGATTGATATGAGTCCCTTGACAAAGTTTACAGTGACTTCCTGGTAGTCACGGCAAAATTATTAAAAGAGGAACGGTATACGATCACCTTCATCGACGCGGGTACACATTTCGGCTGAGCTGCGAACGTCGCCAACTGCTATGTCGCTTACCACGGCTTCTGTCTGTGGCTGAGAATGGCGAAAACACAATGTGATGGCAAGATACTGAAGGACTTTCAGACAGACGGAGCATTGGAGTACCAAACAGAGGAGTTCAAATCTGTCTTCGTAGAAAAGGGAACCCAGAGAATGATCTCGCTCCCCTACGCTCATCAGTAGCAGGGATTGGCGGAAAGAACCAACAAAAGCTTCAAGACAAAAGCGTCGAGCCCTCACGAAGGAATCCGTCGTGCCAGCCATCTACTGGCCCTACGTTATGGGTATGATATCGGCCGGCACACCTTAGTGCGCATTCTCACCTGCGTCGCAGTCGTAAAGCAGTGTCCGCATCGTCAGATCGGCGTGTCAAACTCATTTCCCTACGCAATCGTCGATGCCATTATCTTCGTCGAGCAGCCGCATGGCTTTGAGGAGGACAGCGACACTGTGTGTCTTCTGCAGAAATCTACTGTATCAAGCATGCGAACGCCTATGGCAGCAGTACCTACACGGCGTACTCATCGAACTCGGATTTCAGCAGCTACCCAACGATCAAGGGATGTACCGCCTCGAGCCATGCAGCAACTCCATTCTACTCGTCGCCTACGTGGACGACTTGCTCTACACCGGGGACAATGTAGAGCTGCATGACCGCTTAAAGAACGCCATCAAGCAGAAACTGGAGGTGACTATGAATCACACCGTCACTCAGTTTCGCTGCCTCAACGTCACATAGTCGGCTGACATGATTCACCTGTCCGCTGCGAAGTACCCTAAGACGCTCGCCAAGATATTCGACATCACTCCTAGCAACCTCACCACACCCTTCGAGTCCCTCTACCTAACAATGAACCGTTCACAACTTACTAACTACGTGGATGCGGACCACGCTGGGGACACAAAAATTACGAGGTCGGTACATGCTTCATTTTCCAACTTGAGCATGCAGGAACCATCTCCTCAAATTCTCAAATGCAGGAGCCCATTGCCCTTTCGTCCGCTGAAGCCAAGTTCATCGCCGCAAGTGCAACAGTTCCCGAAGGCTTCTACCTCGCGGAGCTCTCGCAGGAAACGAAAACAACGATGATTGCGTCATTCAAGTTACTAAGTGACAACCAAAGCACGACCAAAATCGCAAACAAACCCGGTTTTGTCAATCGCACAAAAGGCATCGCCCTCGGTGATCTTTTCCGTCAAAGACGAAACCGACAAAGGCAAAGTCAGCTCACCTACTGCCCAACTGGTGAAAGGGTGGCCGACTTCCTCACGAAAAAACTGCCACGTGAAAAATTCCAACACCGCGCGAACTTGTGCGGAGTCGTCGGGAGGAGTCACGTGGCACACTTCCATGAATTAAGGGGGTTATTGGAGTAGTAGGGAATTACTTAGCATTCTTGAATGTGTTGCAACACCGCACCTGCTGTTATCGAAGCAATGCCTCTACCAATAGCGCGTTAGCCCATATAGGGCACGGATGTGAACAGTCGGAAGGCAACTGTCGCGAACGGACCGAACGGTTACCTGCAAGGAATGGCAACATGCATAACTGTACCCACTGTTACATACAACAACCCGGTAACTAAAGGAGTGCAAGAGTCGCATTTACTGCAGCAATGCGTCAAATACTGTTATAATAAGAGAATGTACTCTTTAGAGTTCATGAATAGCTAGAATCTATTTATTACGTAATGATTTTCCATTTTAGTCAATTCTTATCATTTAAATTCACTATTCAACAAGGTTTCACCACCATTACTCAACGACTTCCACTATGAAGACCCTAGGCAGACCTATCCTATTCGAAAAGGTCATTATTTTTAAAAGAACTTCAAAGCTTCGTCGCAATTGCAAATTACTATGCCCGCTTCACATCGTTAGCTAGTCCACTCACAGTCTTACGGTACTTCAAAGTTTGATTGGGATTCGGCACAATAACATGTGTTCAGTCATTCGTTGGCAATGCGTGGTTTTGGCAAAAGCTGGCACGCAGTGCAACATATTTTGGCGATGGTATTGGCCGAGGAACGGTCGAGGACCAGTGTATAGCGTTGTATACGATGAAGACTGGAGGTACTGAATAGGTAAGGAAAGACGTTGGAGCAAAGTAAAGAATTCCTTCTATTTCCGTCTAGTGAAGCCAAAAGACGCTGGATCAAAGAAAGAAATTTTGAAGTCTGTACATGTACTAGGTTGACAAGCCTCGTTATGTGACCCCTCGACAATTGCGAAACTTGACTATCCAACCTGCCTCCCTTATTTCCGTAAATTTATGCTTCTCGATACAACGCCCGCCACAAGAGGACAACGGAACAACGGTGACTGGAACTTGAGTTTGGCGGGAAAACCGCCGCGAACCGTTCCCACCAAACCTACCTGCAACGGTAATTCGGAGCAACAGGTGGACACCACCCCTGAATGGCGCGGGCTTTTGAACCACCATCCCGTTCGGAACCCCTGGCCAAGACGTTCAGGGCCACCCAAAGCACCAGAAACCAAACCGAACCTCTCACTGCTTCACCTGTGTGGTTGCTTGCTGCATCCGTGTCGCTATGTACTGGGCTTGGCAGGCCAAGCCGCCTGCCCCTTCCCTGACAAGGACATATGGGAGCCCCCCCAGGGCTGGCGGGTGTTTCTCACACCAAGCAGCAAATCTGCAAGGCGCGGGCAGGCAGTCTCTGTGGGGTTATTGCAAACGGACGTTCCTACGGGCTGGCCACCTGCAAAACTAGCTTCTTTTCTGCCCGAGTTTAGCTTGCGTTCAGAGCAGGCTGTGGTCATCATCTTGGCAAGCCAGAACCTTGGCGGCCAAGTGGCAGTTGCCAGGTGCTGCTGCTGGCTTGTTTGAGGGTGACGGACCCCTCTCTTGGAAGTCCCCTGATGTAGGCTTCGCTACAGTGTCAAACTTTGCACATAATTGCAGAACTTGACGGCCAAGTTTCCTGTCAGACGCGTGACTTTCACCAGGCAGCCATAAGAAGAGCGATGCACTAAGACTGACTGCTGAGCTTTACGCTGCTTGCCAAATCTAATTAATTTTGCCTGTTCTCGGCTGCTACTTAGTCGCGACGTTTGTCCAGCTGACGAAATACCCAGCTGCAATTGTATACTTACCTCACCAGTAAAAACTAACCTATCTCCACGAATAAGTACATCAGTAGGCTTTCCAGGAAAAAAGTAGTTTCTGGGTGCAAGCGATATATATACGATTCTTATTAGCACGTAGTACAAATTTCTTTATACCCGACCAAGACATGCGATGATGGCGGATAACCGTCCGTACATGCCTAGCGCAGCAGGAGCGTCAGGGGATCACGAAACGCTGACCAGTTATCCCGAGCCTCATGGCAGCGGAGCTCCACAGAGCAGCGGGGGGTACGAGATAGGCCATTCCAGCGGCATTCCGCGCGACAAGGAGGACGTGCTCAGGACCCTGCCTCCCGTCACTGGGTGAGTGCGGCTTCACATTAGTGCGAGCCCTGACTAGGGTACCGAAGCCAGAGTACAGCTGATTGCTTCTCGCACGACCGATACGTGACAGCTCAGTCCGAGTCGTCGCGACAAGACCACCTGTCGTGAAGCCGATGCGTGATGCTGGCTTTCGAAGCTCGTCCGTTCACGCTCCCGCCTCTTTTCATTTATTCTGTCTTTCCGGTGCTCCCCTCTGCGTCTCCTGCAGCCCTACGGGCGGACCCACCCGCCGGTCATCAAGAGGTGGTTGGACTGCCGAAGAGGTATGCACTCTCGCAACCGTACCCTCCACCTCGCACCCTGCCCTCCATCCATACCTCTTCGTTTTCGCTAAGCAGTTGTCAATCCGAAGCCAGCAAATCTTCTTCTCCGGCGATTTCCTTTGTAACAATTCATGTTCTTAGAGAAATTTGTTTCTGAGTCCCTCGACTGTTACGGGTGCGTGAGTCAGACTGTTTGTATTGAAAAAATGCAAGGTTCATCTCATGTTTGGATAAGACTGACTATCGCATCTTCCTCTTTTCCCTTTCTTCCTGTCTTCCTTCGCATCAGGACGAAATCCTACGGCGAGCAGTGCAGTGCTATAAGGGCAAGAATTGGCGTAAAATAGGTAAGCCATTTTTACGTTTTGTGATGCTAGCAAAAAGTGTGCTGCTCGCAAAGGTGTTAGCGTCGGCTTCGCGTAACATCGTGTTAACGGCTTTCTTTTGCTTCCGCCTGCGATCCGCTCTCCCCTCCCCCACCCCTTCCGCCACCAGCGGAGTTCTTCCCCGACCGCACGGACGTGCAGTGCCTGCACCGATGGCAGAAGGTGCTCAACCCCGACCTCGTCAAGGGGCCCTGGACCAAAGAGGTACGCACTTGGGACCACGCGGGTAGAAGCGTCGGATCAAGCATGTCGGGACGTTGGGTTGAGCAGGCAAGGGAAGGGCACCACGTCAAGCTGGGTGGAGCTGGGAGAGCCGCCTCTCAGCGCGCCGACGTGTCTCACTTGCGTCGCGCTCGGGTTTCGGCTGGCCAATGCTGCCGATCAAGCCAACACTCGGATTCGGAACGTCGTTCTACGCAGCAATGTTAGCAACGGCCTAGTACCGACCAGGTCGTCGAACCTCCTCCAACACTGCTCATGACTGGGCAGCTGACTGCTCATGTCGTGTCTGCCTCGTTTTCCTCTCTTCCAGCCTTGCCCTCGGCGCGGCACTGTGTCACCATTAGGACGCTCATCGCTCATCGCTCATCGCCCATCGGCCATCGCGCATCGGCCATCGCGCATCGGCCATCGCGCATCGGCCATCGCGCATCGGCCATCGCTCATCGGCCATCGCTCATCGTTCGTCGCTCATCACACCGCACCTCATCGCGCGCATGCCTCGTGTGTCCGCCGCCCTTTCCGCCATTTCCCGGCGCGCTGGCAGGAGGACGAGCGCATAACGGAGCTGGTGGCGCAGTACGGCGCCAAGAAGTGGTCGCTCATCGCGCAGCACCTGCCGGGGCGCATCGGCAAGCAGTGTCGCGAGCGGTGGCACAACCACCTGAACCCGGGCATCAAGAAGGAGGCGTGGGGCGAGCACGAGGACGTGCAGCTCATCAAGGCGCACAAGCTCTTCGGCAACAAGTGGGCCGAAATCGCCAAGTTCCTGCCGGGCAGGTGCGTGCGGGGTGTGGGAGCGCGTGCGATTTCTGGATGCGTTTGCAGTCGCGGAGGGTTTCCGCCGCTCGTCGCGCGCGCGGGGAGGTTGGTTGGCTGTCGCGCCTGTGTTCCCCTGCAGGCTCGTCCCACAGTGTTTACTGAAATCGCGCCCAACCAGCGAGCTTCCAGGCAGCGCGCATCTTCGCATCCGCGCAGATTTCGCGCATTCGTTAGCATTTGCGCGTGCTTCCGATACTCATATTTCCGGTACTCATATTTCCGGTTCTGCTTCTATTCCGCCTTTTCGACCCCCACCCCCTCCATTCCCGTTCCCCCTCGGCCTGGCAGGACGGACAACTCGATCAAGAACCACTGGAACAGCTGCATGAAGAAGCGCGCCGAGCTCTGCACTCTCGCGGACCTCCTCGCGCTCCCGCCGTCCCCCGGGCTCCCCGAAATCCCCATCTCCGCGGAAGTGCTGCAGGCCGCGCGCGAGGGGAAGCCGCTTCCGCCCATCGGCGGAGACGGCGCCTGCGGGAGCGGGAGCGGGGGAGAGGAGGAGGAGAATGGGGGGGAGGAGGGTGATGACGATGCGGACGCGGAGGAGGGGGCGCGAGGGGCCGAGGGTAAAGGGAAAGGTAAGGAGAAGGAGCGGGCGGGGGAGAGGGAGAATGGAGGGTCGCAGCAGGGGGAGGAGCAGATGGAAGTGGCGGTGGGCATGCCTGCGCTGCCCCGAGGCCAGTTTCAGGGGAATGTTCAGGTGCTTCCGCAGCAGGTGGTGGTGAAGCTAGAGATGATGGAAGAGCAACGGCGGCAGCAACAACGGGAGCAGGAGCAGCAGCAACAGCAGCAACACGACCGGCAGCAGCAGCAGCAGCAGCAGCAGCAGCAGCAGCAGCAGCGGCCTTGCCCGACTGTGTCTAGCAGTCGTCCAGGCGCGTCGTCGTCCCGCCCCTCACCATCCGAAGCCACTTGCGCGCCTCGCTCCGCCGCCGCCCCCAGCCCAGCTCAGCCTTCCGCCAGCGCGCGTGCCAGCCCCCCCGCGTCCCCGGAGAAACACTCCGCCCCTTCCGCGCGCCTGCCCCTTTCCGGAGCACCTGCTGCCCGCCCCGCCCAAGCGCCAGCGGCGGGCGGTCCCAATCCCATGTCCAGCGGCTCACAGAGAGTGAGCGGCGCCCCTCTGCGCGCATGCAGTGCGTCCCAGGCGCCGCTGCAGCCCCAGGCGCAGGGGCAGTCGCAGGTCCAGCAGATGGCGCCGGGCGTGCACCTAACGAGCGGGCGCTGTCGCGTGGGGCCCACCAGCCGCACCATCACTTTGATGGGCGGCAGACTGCCGTCCGCCCTGGCGTGCTCTCCCGAAGAGAAAGGACCCCGGCCTGATGGGGATGAGGATGGCGATGGTGGCAGTGCTGACGTGGCACACGGTGGTGTGGCAATGCAGGGCGTGGGGCAGCAGGGCGCTGTGGTGCAGAGTCAGCAGCAAGCTCACCCGAACGGTCACTATCAGCAGCCGCCACAGCAGCATCAATATCAGCATCAGCAACAACAGCAGCCGCAGCTGCAGCAGAAGCAGCCGCAGCTGCAACAACAGCAGTCGCAGCCCCAGCAGCAGCAACCCCTGTGCTCTCGTGAACCTCCACCAGCCAGCAACAGTTCCTTTCCGCGTTGCCCGCCTCCCTACAGCGGCCCCGCGCCCCTCTCCATCAACGCGTGCGCTCCTCCCAACTCCGCTGCGCCCCTCCGCATGCCCTCAGCGCCATTCCCAGCCAGCGCCAATGCGCCCCCCCGCGCCAGCTTCCCCCCCAGCAGCACTGCGCCCCCGCATCCCCCCACCAGCTCCGCCCCTCCGCTCGCACTGGGCTCCGCGCTTCTGTCTTCTGGTGCGCCCAACAGCAGCGCGCAGGGGGGAAGCGCGGAACCCAGCCTGCTGCGCATAGCATGCAGCAGGCCGCTGAACGTGCCTGGCGGGATGGGTATGACCCGCAGCAGCAACAGCCAGCCACACGCCATGCAGCCGTGGCCGCAGCAGGCCCAGCAGCAGCATCAGAACCAGTCAGGGTTTGCTGCCCCCGGGGATAGCTCGCGCTATGCTGCTGCCCCGCCACCTGCCCCGATCTCTGCTCGCCCAGCGCTCACTCTGCCGTCACCAGCCGCTCTCTCTGCTGCCCCTCTTCCCCCTCCACCTGCCGCCCCTTCTGGCGCTCCCCCAAGCGCTGCCCCTGCGTCGTCGTCCTTCCTGCACCTGCCGTCGCGCCCCGCCCTCACTCTCCCTCAAGCACGGCCGGCACCCAGCCAGCAGCAGGCGTACCTGCCTCAGCAGCAAGGGCCCATGCCGCACACAGGCCCCACGAGCGCACCGCAGCAGCATCAGCAGCAGCGCCAGCAGCCGCCGTCACAGCCTATGTACTACCAAAGCCAAGGGCAGCAAGTACAGCAACCTTTCCAGCCATCGCAGCAGCAGCAGCAGCAACAGCACCAGCAGCCTTTCCATCAGCAACAGCAGCAGCAGCCTTCGCAGCATCAGCAGCGGTTTCAGAACGGGCCAATGCCACCATGGCAGCAACCGGGCCTACAGATGCCATCATGCCCTCCGCCCCCTCCTCCTCCTCACGCCCCTCCACCACACTCCATCATCGCCCCCTCTTCCTCCGCCTACGCGCCCACACCTGCCCGTTCTCCACCACCACCACCACCAGCGTCGGCTGGTTTCGCTGCCGGCCCCATGCAGCCCCAGTACGGCCAGCAGCCCCGCTGTCGCTGCCCCATGCCCCACCCTGCTTGCACTCCCTGCTGCCCTCCTCCTCCTGCTCCTCCTCTTGCCCCTGCTTCTGCTGCTCGCCCTGCTCTCTCCTTGCCATCCGCCTACTCCACTGGTCCACTGCACGTGCAGCAGCAGCAGCAGCAACAGCAGCGAGCTGTTCACATGCCACCTCAAACCGCGCCACCGCCTGTACCAGCAGCAGCAGGAGCACCAGCACCAGTACCAGCCTCTGCGGCAGCAGCAGCACCACTACCAACACCAGCGGCAGCACCAGCGCCATCCCTGCTGTCAGTGCCCCCCATGCCCACTCAGGCACCAGCAGCAGCACCAGTCGCACCAGCACCAGCAGCAGCACCAGCACGAGCCCCAATTGCAGCAGCAGCAGCAGCAGCAGCACTACCACCACCTCCAGCTGTTACTGCTGCTAACACTCCCTCTCCTCCACCCCCCGTTGCGATGCAAGCAGACACCAAACCACAGCTCTGCGCACCCCAGATCCCACCCCCACTGCGAGTAACAGGGAGCCAAAACACTGTAACGGGTGGCAGCAATGCTGTTCCAGTCAGTATCACGTTGGCAGGCGACGCAGCAGCACAAGGGCGCACAGCAAGCTGCACAGGCGGAGCCTGGGAGTCCCGGGCGGAAGTGAAGGCGGAGAGTGAGGGGAGGCGAGGGTGCGAGGGGGCGGAGGAGGAGGAGGCAGCTGCGGTGCAGCGGCTGCTGAGCCTGGACGGGGCGGCAGCAGAGCCGCTGTTCCAAGCAGCGGAGCAGGCAGTGCACGAGTACCACGCCACTCAGGGCTTCCAGGGCAGTCAGAGCGGCCTTGCAGGCGAAGCTGGATCCGCGGTGACTGTCTCTGATGCTGGGGCGCCTGGTGCCACCACCACTGCCGCCACTGCTGCTGCTGCGGATGCTCCTACTCCTGCTTCTGCTGTTGCAGCAGCAGCGGCAGCAGTGCCGGGGCTGGTGACGGTGGAGAGGGCAGTGGACGATTCGCTCTTCTACGTGCCGCCACAGCTGGACCACCTCGATGCTGCGCCCTCCACTGCCGTCTCCTCCGCGCCCCCTCCCCTCGTGCCCCTGCCCCCGCTCTTCGACTCCTTCCTCCTCAGCCCCACCACCGGCCCCGCCCTGCCTGCCTCACCGCAAATCACCGCTCTCAACCTCCCTTCATCTGCCGTGCAGCCCTTCTCCTCGCCTCTCGGCCTGCGCCAGATGCTACCTCCCCTGCCGTCCACCGGCTGCCAGACCCCGCGGCAGATGCAGCCTGCTGCGCCCTCAGCGGGCTGTCAGACGCCAGTGAACGCCATCTTCTCAGGCCTCTCGCCTTTCCTCTCTGGCCGCAGCCCCCCCTCGTGCGCTGCCTCGCTGTCCATGTCGTGCCTGCTGCTCAGTGCTGGCCGCTCCCTGGACGGCCCTCCCTCCATCTTCCGCAAGCGCAGGAGGGTGGTCGAGGTCACTGCTAATGCTGCTTCTACTGCTGCTGCTGCTACTCCTCCTGCTTCTCGTGTTGCGGCGACTGCTGACAGTGCTGCAGCTGCTGCTGATGCTGATGGGGCTGGCGCAAAGGGTGGGGAGGAGCAGGGGGAGAAGGGAAAGGAGGGTGGGGGAGAGGCGGAGGGAGTGTCGGAGTCGGGCAGGGTGCTGGCTCTGCTGAGGGAACAGCCAGAGGGGCTGGGCAGTGCGCAGCGCAGAGCAGGGTCAGCGGGGGCAGCAGAGGAGGACCCTGCTGCAGGCGGGGCTGGCGAATTTGGTAGCGCCAAGGGGAGTGATGCAGGCGATGGTGACAGTGACGGGCGTGGTAAGGGCGGGCTGCTTCTGCGGATGGGCAATGGTGCTGGCAGTAAGGATGGCGGCAGTGAGAGTGAAAGGAGCATTGAGAGTGAGGGAGGGGGTAAGATTGATGTTAAGAATGAGAAAGGAAGCGGCGACGAGAGGCAGAGGCATGAGAAAGAGGGCGAATGTGGCTTGGATTGCAAGAGTGTGAATGGTGAACGGCCCCCGGGCAGGCGGGCAGCTAGGAAGGATGGCAATGCAACCGACCTGGGGGACAAGGAGGAGAAGCAGCAGAAGGAGGAGGAGGAGGTGGTGGAAGTGGAGGAAAAGGAGGGAAAGGAGGCGGTGGGATTGGGAAAGGAGCAGGAGGAGGGGGAGCAGGAAGCGCAGGAGGAGGAAGAGGAGGAGGATCCAGCTGACTTTGCGCTGCCAGCAGCTGCCATTGACGGCGAGGGCGGGGAGGGCGGCGCTCAGTGCGGGCCGGTGACGTGGACGCTGACACGTGGCAAGAGCGTGAGCCCCGAGGGCAAGAAGCGCGCCCGCGAGGGCGAGGAGGAGGGGGCGCAGGCAGGGGCGAGGGGAGGCGGCGGTGTGGGAGGAGCAAGGGCGGAAGGAAGGGTGTCCCCGAGGAAACAGCTGAAGCTGGATGGGGAAGTCCTGAGAGTGGCTGCTGCTGCTGCCGCTGCTACTCCCGTTGTTACTGGCACTGCTGGCGGTGCAGCCCTGCCTCTGAGCCGTGTGCTGCACCTGGAGCTGGATGCTGCTGCTGACACCCACATGCAGGACGCCACGCATGGCAGCAAACTGAGTCAAGGGCTCACCACTCCACACTCGAAGAAGCAGCAGCAGCAGGAGCAGCAGGGTGCATCCTTGAGCAAGCTTCTCTCCTCGTCCTCCACTGTCCCTTCCCCCCCTCTCTGTGTTTCAGCCTCGTCCACTCAAGATGCGTCGTCCACACGAGATGCCTCGTCTCCATCCCTCGCACCTGTACCCTCCACAGACACTCCCTCCACTGCCTCTCATGCCGATGCTCCTGAGCCTCACTCTGCAGTTGCTGCCTCTGCTGCTACAGCAGCACCACCACCACCTGCAGCATCGCTGGCAGCTGGTGCTGGGGCAGCAGCGGGAGCAGTGGGGCGATCGCGTCTGGGTACAGTCCCTGTGGTCGCCTCTCCCAGAGTGGGTCCAGTGCGGTCAGGAGTGGTGGATAATGGTGGGAAGGTGGAGGCGACAGAGGGGAGTGCAGGTGAGACAAAGGAGCAGCGGGAGAGCAACTGCGGTGCAAGCGATGCAGACAATAAGCCCTGTGGCTCTGCTGCTGCTGCTGCTGCTGCTGGTAAAGGTTGGTACCAGGACAGGCAGTACAGGAGCAGGCTCGCACAAGGGTCCAGCGCTGAAGGCACAGACGAGGAGGCTCATCCGCAAGGTGCTGCCTGGGGGAGGCGTTGACTGGCAGGTGGCGGCTGTGGGGCCTGGACTCGCCAGCCTCAGGGGCATTCTGCAGGCTGCCTCTGGTGCACCGCCGCCCCTCACAGGAGCCCTGCCCTCGCACATTCGCACAGGCACTGCTGGAGACACAGGGGCAGCGGCCGCAGCAGCAACAGCAGTGGCGGTGCCTGCAGGGCCGCTTGGATCCGGGCGTCTGCTGGCCTCTGCAGCAGCTGCAGCAGCAGCCAAGGCTCGGCCTGCACCTAGGGAGCTTTGCTCGCCGGAGCTGGCAGGCTCGGGTGCGAGTGTGAGCTACTCAGGGTGCTACAGCAGCTGCAGTGGCAGCCAGTCGTGCATGAGTGGGGCGCTGTCCCCCTCAGTCACACCAGCGACCTCCCCTCCCGCGGCAGCACTGATGGCCGCCGCCAGCACCATGGCGTCTGCCACTGTCACCTCTGCTGCTGCTGCTGCGCCCCCTCCGCCCCTGCAGATGCCCTCACCCGCGCAGCCCCAACTGCCCCTTGTGCATGGCAAGAGCGGTGGCAGGGCGGGGAGTGCGAGGGTGGCCCTGGCTGCTTCTGGTAGCAGTGGCGAGGGTGCTGCCGGTGGTTCTGCTCGTGATGGCTCCGCTGCCACTGGTGCTGAGTGTGCGTCTGCAGAGGCTGGTGATGCAGCAGTAGCAGAGGTTGGAGAGACGATGACTGTGGGTACCTCTGGTGCGAGCAATAGCCATCACGCTGCTGCTCCCGCAGCACCTGATGCAGCACCTGATGAAACACCTGATGCATGCGATGGCGATGTCCAGAAGGAGGCTGACCCCCTTGGATGCGCAGAGGCAGTGAGTGATGTGGTCGCAGGGCCAGAAGAAGGCAAGCCATGCACGGCACCAGTACCAGTACCAGCGCCACACGCCACCTCCATGTCTCCGCCCCGCCCGCTCAAGCGCCCCTTCCCTGCAGCCGACAACGCAGATCCACCAGCTGATTCCAGTGCTGCTGCTTGCGGCTCTGCATCCGCCGCTACTGGTGCTGCTGTGGGTGGGGACGGTGGTGGCGGAGGGAATGGCGGAGAGGCAGGCGCAGCAGCAGCAGTATCAGCAGGAGGAGAGGCGGGTTCAGAGAGGAAAGTGAGGCGTGTGCGACCACCGCTGCACCGGTGCGTGGGCAAGCCACAGCAGCAGGTGCAGGTGCAGGCGCAGGGGGAGGGAGAGGGCGAGGGTGGAGAGGCGGAGGGAGAAGCAGCAGGCGGCTGTGCTGGCGTGCTGTCTCCTCCCCCTCTCAAGCGCGTGGCAGCAGTGCGAGCAGCAGCTGCAGCCGCCGAGGGACAAGGGAACAGCATGGGTCGAGCAGAGGCAGCAGGGGGTAATGGAGGGTCTAATGCGGTGGGAGGGGGTGCGGGGGCAGCAGGGTCGGAGGGGCAGTGGGTGCTGCAGGAGGTGGGGGTGGAGGGCTCGCTTTTCTCCCCAACGCCCTCGCGTGCAGCCATGGCGGGCGTGGCGTCACTCGCCTCACCCATGTCTCCCTTCACCGCCCGCTGGCTCTCGGTGCGTTGCTTCCCTGCCCATCCCCGCAGCTTCCCATTCATTTCCTCACCTTCCCCTCCTCTCTGGACCCTCTTTGGTTTCTTGCCCTTCTTTTTCTGCCTCTCACGCGGCAGCCCACACTGTCCACTGCTCCAGCCTTCTGCCTGGCCCACCACCCTTATCTCATCCATCTTGTCTGTCCCGCTGCCTCTCCCCGCCCCTGCCCTCTCCCCCACTTCCTGCAGCCTGTGAGGCCGCAGGCTCTGGCATCGCTGGATGTCTTCCGCTGCAGCACGCCTGCATCGATGCGCAAGGCGGGCTTCACACGCTCGCATGCGCACGCACAGGCAACCACGCACGTGACGATGGTGGATGGTGATGCGGCTGATTGTGACCTGGCATCGGGCACCGGGCTCAGCAAGACCACGTGGGGCGAGCCCATCAGCCCTGCCAGCTACCTGCTGCGCGAGTACCGATGACGCGCACTGCAGTCGTTACAACAGGAACAGAACATTACGTATGGTTAATTATATGGGATGTGATAGTCTAACTTAACCACATTTAGCCAATAGCATGACTTGTATGTAGTGCAGATACAGTCCATTAGATAGGAACAGAAAGGGCCTCACTTTCGTGTTCCGCATACAGGTATGGATTGATGAGTATATTGTAGTAGTATACTATATTTTGGGCCACTTGTGTTGCTCTAATACCGTATTTGAAATTTGCCTTTTGAAGAGTAATGTAAGGAATTAAGGTACCTAAAATGTTCTCTCAAGTTAGTTGCAACTTGCAAGCTCAAATCCGCACAACAATGTACACAGGTTTGATAAATATTCCACGCCCTTATTTTGCGTTTCCTTGTACTCTAGCACCATTTTCCGGACTGCCAGAATATTCATTTAACGAATCAGAGCATAGAGAATGAGGAATGAGTTTGAGATCTCGTGTTTTGTAATTGTGTTTCGGGTTTATAATATCGCGTACATCTCGATTTGGAGGGCCACAGATCATTCCTCTGGTATGTCCACCTTACTGCTCCCGGGGGCAACGGTCAGATGCAATGCTCACCCGCACGTTTCGCCTACCCATTCCGCGCGCGCCATTACCACCGCCTCTCGGGGCTGACCGCTTTGTGCCTTCGCGAGCCGAGGCACGAAGCGCGGAGGGATCGGATGGTGGGGGAAAGAAAGGCGGGCGAAATGGTGGGAGTGGAGAATTTGCGGCGCCGTCTCTGTCCAATCAGCGGACGACGCGCGCGCATGGGGGAGAGAACGGCGGCGGGCGGAAGACCCGGAGCGGCAGAAGGGAGGGCGGAATTTCCGCGGCGGAGGAAGCGGAGAGCGCTGCCGGCAGCAGCGGGGCCGTGACGGACTCAATGCGGCGCAACGCGCAGGCGACGGCGGCCGCGCTGCGCAGCAAGAGCCGGCGCGCCAAGCGATGGCTCGGACAGGTGCGATGGCTCGGGCAGGTGCGGCGGGGGGAGCAGGGGAGGCGTGGGGGGGAGCAGGAGAGGTGGGAAAGGGGGGGTTTGGGGGGAGTGTGGGGGGGAAAGGCGTGAATGGCATGGCGGGCGAGGCAGTGCATGGCGGGCTGCAAGCGGTGATGGCATGGCATGTGCAGGGAGAGTGTGAGCAGTGTGGTGGGGCCTGGCGTAGGTAAGCACGCCCTGTTTGTGTGGCACGGCATGGTGTGGCACGGCATGGTGTGACGGGGCCTGACGTCATCACCTTGCAGCTCCCTCACACCCCACTACTGTGCCCCGTGCCCCGTGCCCCACAGTCCCTCTCTCCTGCCGCACCCCTTTGCTCACCCCCTCCTCATCCCTTTCTCATCTCACTCCCTCCTCAACCCCTTCATCACCCCCAGGCCCACCCGTCACCCACCCACCCCCCACCCGTCACCCACCCACCCCCCACCCGTCACAAAACCACCCCACTCCCCACTATCTGTTGCGGGGCGGCATCAGCACAGCCACGGTGGCGGCAGCAAGATGGATGTTGAATCCACTGAAATACCCTCTGCCAGCCCCAGCACCCCCCCACCTCCCCTACCCCCCCCCCCCCCCTACCCTTCCACCCACCTACTTCCCCCCCCCCCCCCCCCCCCCAGCACTATCTACTGCGGGACGGCATCAGCTTGGCCATGATGGCAGCAGCACGATGGCTTTGAGTCACCTCACCCCCTGCCCCGACCCCAACCCCCTCACACCCCAACCCCTCACACCCCAACCCCCTCACAACCCAACCCCCTCACACCCCAACCCCTCACCTCACACCCCAACCCCCTCACACCCCAACCCCCTCACACCCCAACCCCCTCAACCCCTTCCCCCAGCACTATCTACTGCGGGACGACATCAGCTTGGCAACGGTGGCAGCAGCGGGCGTGCAGGCAGGTGACGTGGTGGTGGAGGTGGGGCCGGGCACGGGCGCTCTCACTGCTGCGCTCGTCGCTGCTGGCGCGCACGTGATTGCCGTGGAGAAGGTGAGGGGGGGGTGGGGAGTAGGGGAGTGAGAGGCGGGGAGAGAGTGGGGGAGGGGAAGGGGGGGAGAAGCGGAGTGTAGGCGCAGTGGTGGGAGTGGCGAATGTTACCTGCATGTTTTGGGACGATGCAAAGGGTGGTCGTTCCACTCCTTCATCCTTCTGTTTCTTCGTCTCTCCGCTGCTCTTCCCCACCCCTCTCCCACCACTGAGTCTCTCTCCCTCCCCGGCTGCATGTCTTCATTTGTCACACCAACTCGTTTTGCTTCCCTCACGTGTCTCTGACATTCCTCATGCCCATCACATCCATACACCGCACTGCACCGCACAGGACCCTGACATGGTACAGCTGGTGCGGGAGCGCTTCTCCCAGTGCCCACAAGTAGAGGTGCGCACGTCCCTCCTCTCCCCTCCTTTAGCAGTCTTTCTCATTGACTATAAAAAACGGTACAGCGAGTGTAAGACAAGGCTATCAAACGTGTTTGCTGCTACGACACGGGCAGGCATGTAAGTGGTGTTACAGAATTGGTGGGCCACACACGCGACTTTAAAAGACTAGCAAACAACCTGTGAGTGCCAATGGGTACTGGGTTCATGCCCAGCATGGGGTTCATGCCCAGCATGGGGTTCATGCCCAGCATGGGATTCATGCCCAGCATGGGGTTCATGCCCAGCATGGGGTTCATGCCCAGCATGGGGTTCATGCCCAGCATGGGGTGGCTGGCCGTTTTGTGTGGGTGGGGTGATGGGGCCGTGTGACGCTGCCCTGCACGCTGCCACCCACCAATGGCTGGGCTGCCTGGCTGGTTGGCCTGGAGTGCATGTGTCACGATGGGGAAGCTGGGGAGGTCCACTCACCCACCCACCTCAGCCTCACGCCTCCTGGACCGACAGCTATGGGCCTTGAGTCATCCGCTGGTTGCCGGTAACACGCTTCTACCACCCGGTTGGCTGTCGCAGGTATTGCATTTGCTTGGCTTCGCTAAACCCCTCCTCCCCTCCCTCCCCTCCCTCCCGTCCCTCCCTCTACTGCTGCATCTGGTAACGTTGGTTGGTTCCACTAGCATGTGCCTGCCTGCCTGCCCACCCGCCTGCCCTGTGCTCGACCCTCTCCTTGCCCACCCTTCCTCTCCTCTCGCCAGGTGGTGCATGCGGACATCCTCAAGTGGCCCCTGCACGCCCACCTGCCTGCTCGCCTGCACCACCTCACTGACACGGCTGGGGGCGACGCGCACACACTGGGAGGGGCGGAGGGAAGGGCAGCACAGGGCGAAGTGGGGGTGGCGAGTGGTGGGGCAGCAGCACGCACGCGTGGGATGGATGGCATGTTGGGAGAGCCGCCCCTGCCTCTTGCTGCTGCACGGCCTGCTGCTGCTCCCACCGCTGGCGCTGTGGCGAGCAGAGGCAGCGAGGGGGCTGGAGGCAGCAGTGGCGTGCGTGCCAAGGTGGGTGGGAGCAGAGGATCAAGGCAAGGCTGGAGCCCATGCGGCTCACAGGTGTGAGCAAGTGCGTGCCAATATAGGCCGCTGTCGTTGCACGGGGGAGTGGAGCTCCTCCTGGACTTCCAATCCCCCACTGTCATCGCCTCCTTCCTCCCTCAATGTCATTCGCAAGGTTGCAACCACAAAGAAATGTTTACAGGGGGTGAGAAACCACATTTTCACAAATATATATACATATATATATATATATATCTTATAGATGGTGGGTGCCTCTTGATAATGTGACTTAAATGAAGGGTGGAATGGCCAAATGGCTGGCCTTTCACAAACCTACAGAGGCTCGAGATGAAACTTCTATATGCTGTTGCGAGGATGGACTGCGGGGACTGCGGGTTGTTTGAAAAAGAATGGCCAAAGTCAGCACCCAAGTGCTACCCAGGCATGAGGTCACACCCAGATTACATCTCTTGCCATCCGCAACCGCAACACACAGTCCCCCTCACTTTGGCACCTTCAATCTCTCCAACCTTTGTCTTTTAGTCTATTGCTTCTCTTTCTTTCCTTTCCCTTCTACATACCTCCCCACCTTTAGTCCGCCCCCCCTCGTCGCGCCCACACCACACCTCTGCAGTCCCCTCTCCTTGACATGTGCCACGTCTCTCCTTACCTCCCACCTCACACCGGGCCTGGACCGACCATGGGGGAGCAGGGGGAGGCATTTCGCCGCGCCATTTCACATCTCACATCTCACATTTCACATCTCACATCTCACATCTCACATTGAGTGCATGGCAGGTGGTGACGAACCTGCCCTTCAGCATCACCACTGCCTTCCCCTTCAATGCCCCACCTTACGCGCCTCTCCCCCAGGTGGTGACGAACCTGCCGTTCAACATCACCACGGACTTCCTGCGCCTCTTCCTGCCCCTCGGCCACCTCGTCTCCACCGTCGTCTGCATGCTGCAGGTGTGGTGAGGTGAGGGGCGTGCTGCAGGTGATGTGGGGCATGCTGGAGGTGGATGTGAGGGCATGGTGTGATGGAGTGCTGTGATGATGGATGGTTGCAAGCATGAGGCATGGCTGTAAGACTGCAAGCATGACGCATGGCTCTAAGACTGCAAGCATGAGGCATGGCTGTAAGACTGCAAGCATGACGCATGGCTGTAAGACTGCAAGCATGACGCATGGCTCTAAGGCTGCAAGCATAAATCCTCTGACCTCATATCCCTCACTGTGCAGGATGACGCGGCACAGCGGCTGGTGGATGCAGCACCGGCAGCATCACAGTACCGACCCATGAGTGTCTTCGTGCACTACTATGCAGGTGAGCTGCTGTGCCGTGCCTCTGCAAGCACCGTGCCTCTGCAAGCACCGTGCCTCTGCAAGCACCGTGCCTCTGCAAGTACGTTGCCTCTGCAAGCACCGTGCTGCCATGACGATCATTCGGTGTGCACCATTCCACTCTGCTGCACGGCATCCACTCTGCTGCACGGCATCCACTCTGCACCTCAACTCATCCCCATACCACTCCTCTCTCCTCACCCCTGACACCTCCCCCCCCCCCCATTTATCACTCCCCTCGCCCCATCGCTCGCTCTCTCCACCTGTGCGTCACCACCCCCCGTCAGACCCCACCTATCAGTTCTTCGTCAGCCGCCGCAGCTTCCTACCGCCCCCCAATGTATGCCCCATGCCTCTTGCCCCATGCCTCTTGCCCCATGCCTCTTGCCCCATAACTCTTGCCCCATGCCTCTTGCCCCATGCCTCTTGCCCCATGCCTCTTGCCCCATGCCTCTTGCCCCATAACTCTTGCCCCATGCCTCTTGCCCCTCTTGTCCCATAACTCTTGCCCCGTGCCCGTGCCCCGTGGCTCATGCCGCAAGCCCTGTCCCCCATGCCGCATACCCCATGTTACCCCATGCTCCACGCCCCATTCCCCACGCCCCATTCCCCACGCCCCATTCCCCATCCCCATTTCCCATAACCCATGCTGTATGCTTCCCATCCCGCGTGTCACATGCACAATTGCACATGCACAATGGCACATGCACAATGGCACCCTGTGCATGTGACTCTTTGTTCTGTCAGTCTCCATTCCTGCTCTACTCATGTCAGTTGCAAGAACTTCCGCAAATGGAATCTCTCTATGACCATCGCATCTATCTATGGCCATCGCATCTCTCTATGACCATCGAATCTCTTTATGACCATCGCATCTCTCTATGACCATCGCATCTCTCTATGACCATCGCATCTCTCTATGACCATCGCATCTCTCTATGACCATCGCATCTCTCTATGACCATCGCATCTCTCTATGACCATCGCATCTCTCCATCACCATCGCATCTCTCTATGACCATCGCATCTCTCTATGACCATCGCATCTCTCTATGACCATCGCATCTCTCTATGACCATCGCATCTCTCTATGACCATCGCATCTCTCTATGACCATCGCATCTCTCTATGACCATCGCATCTCTCTATGACCATCGCATCTCTCTATGACCATCGCATCTCTCTATGACCATCGCATCTCTCTATGACCATCGCATCTCTCTATGACCATCGCATCTCTCTATGACCATCGCATCTCTCTATGACCATCGCATCTCTCTATGACCATCGCATCTCTCTATGACCATCGCATCTCTCTATGACCATCGCATCTCTCTATGACCATCGCATCTCTCTATGACCATCGCATCTCTCTATGACCATCGCATCTCTCTATGACCATCGCATCTCTCTATGACCATCGCATCTCTCTATGACCATCGCATCTCTCTATGACCATCGCATCTCTCTATGACCATCGCATCTCTCTATGACCATCGCATCTCTCTATGACCATCGCATCTCTCTATGACCATCGCATCTCTCTATGACCATCGCATCTCTCTATGACCATCGCATCTCTCTATGACCATCGCATCTCTCTATGACCATCGCATCTCTCTATGACCATCGCATCTCTCTATGACCATCGCATCTCTCTATGACCATCGCATCTCTCTATGACCATCGCATCTCTCTATGACCATCGCATCTCTCTATGACCATCGCATCTCTCTATGACCATCGCATCTCTCTATGACCATCGCATCTCTCTATGACCATCGCATCTCTCTATGACCATCGCATCTCTCTATGACCATCGCATCTCTCTATGACCATCGCATCTCTCTATGACCATCGCATCTCTCTATGACCATCGCATCTCTCTATGACCATCGCATCTCTCTATGACCATCGCATCTCTCTATGACCATCGCATCTCTCTATGACCATCGCATCTCTCTATGACCATCGCATCTCTCTATGACCATCGCATCTCTCTATGACCATCGCATCTCTCTATGACCATCGCATCTCTCTATGACCATCGCATCTCTCTATGACCATCGCATCTCTCTATGACCATCGCATCTCTCTATGACCATCGCATCTCTCTATGACCATCGCATCTCTCTATGACCATCGCATCTCTCTATGACCATCGCATCTCTCTATGACCATCGCATCTCTCTATGACCATCGCATCTCTCTATGACCATCGCATCTCTCTATGACCATCGCATCTCTCTATGACCATCGCATCTCTCTATGACCATCGCATCTCTCTATGACCATCGCATCTCTCTATGACCATCGCATCTCTCTATGACCATCGCATCTCTCTATGACCATCGCATCTCTCTATGACCATCGCATCTCTCTATGACCATCGCATCTCTCTATGACCATCGCATCTCTCTATGACCATCGCATCTCTCTATGACCATCGCATCTCTCTATGACCATCGCATCTCTCTATGACCATCGCATCTCTCTATGACCATCGCATCTCTCTATGACCATCGCATCTCTCTATGACCATCGCATCTCTCTATGACCATCGCATCTCTCTATGACCATCGCATCTCTCTATGACCATCGCATCTCTCTATGACCATCGCATCTCTCTATGACCATCGCATCTCTCTATGACCATCGCATCTCTCTATGACCATCGCATCTCTCTATGACCATCGCATCTCTCTATGACCATCGCATCTCTCTATGACCATCGCATCTCTCTATGACCATCGCATCCTTCTATGACCATCGCATCTCTCTATGACCATCGCATCTCTCTATGACCATCGCATCTCTCTATGACCATCGCATCTCTCTATGACCATCGCATCTCTCTATGACCATCGCATCTCTCTATGACCATCGCATCTCTCTATGACCATCGCATCTCTCTATGACCATCGCATCTCTCTATGACCATCGCATCTCTCTATGACCATCGCATCTCTCTATGACCATCGCATCTCTCTATGACCATCGCATCTCTCTATGACCATCGCATCTCTCTATGACCATCGCATCTCTCTATGACCATCGCATCTCTCTATGACCATCGCATCTCTCTATGACCATCGCATCTCTCTATGACCATCGCATCTCTCTATGACCATCGCATCTCTCTATGACCATCGCATCTCTCTATGACCATCGCATCTCTCTATGACCATCGCATCTCTCTATGACCATCGCATCTCTCTATGACCATCGCATCTCTCTATGACCATCGCATCTCTCTATGACCATCGCATCTCTCTATGACCATCGCATCTCTCTATGACCATCGCATCTCTCTATGACCATCGCATCTCTCTATGACCATCGCATCTCTCTATGACCATCGCATCTCTCTATGACCATCGCATCTCTCTATGACCATCGCATCTCTCTATGACCATCGCATCTCTCTATGACCATCGCATCTCTCTATGACCATCGCATCTCTCTATGACCATCGCATCTCTCTATGACCATCGCATCTCTCTATGACCATCGCATCTCTCTATGACCATCGCATCTCTCTATGACCATCGCATCTCTCTATGACCATCGCATCTCTCTATGACCATCGCATCTCTCTATGACCATCGCATCTCTCTATGACCATCGCATCTCTCTATGACCATCGCATCTCTCCATCACCATCGCATCTCTCTATGACCATCGCATCTCTCTATGACCATCGCATCTCTCTATGACCATCGCATCTCTCTATGACCATCGCATCTCTCTATGACCATCGCATCTCTCTATGACCATCGCATCTCTCTATGACCATCGCATCTCTCTATGACCATCGCATCTCTCTATGACCATCGCATCTCTCTATGACCATCGCATCTCTCTATGACCATCGCATCTCTCTATGACCATCGCATCTCTCTATGACCATCGCATCTCTCTATGACCATCGCATCTCTCTATGACCATCGCATCTCTCTATGACCATCGCATCTCTCTATGACCATCGCATCTCTCTATGACCATCGCATCTCTCTATGACCATCGCATCTCTCTATGACCATCGCATCTTTCCATGACCATCGCATCTCTCTATGACCATCGCATCTCTCTATGACCATCGCATCTCTCTATGACCATCGCATCTCTCTATGACCATCGCATCTCTCTATGACCATCGCATCTCTCTATGACCATCGCATCTCTCTATGACCATCGCATCTCTCTATGACCATCGCATCTCTCTATGACCATCGCATCTCTCTATGACCATCGCATCTCTCTATGACCATCGCATCTCTCTATGACCATCGCATCTCTCTATGACCATCGCATCTCTCTATGACCATCGCATCTCTCTATGACCATCGCATCTCTCTATGACCATCGCATCTCTCTATGACCATCGCATCTCTCTATGACCATCGCATCTCTCTATGACCATCGCATCTCTCTATGACCATCGCATCTCTCTATGACCATCGCATCTCTCTATGACCATCGCATCTCTCTATGACCATCGCATCTCTCTATGACCATCGCATCTCTCTATGACCATCGCATCTCTCTATGACCATCGCATCTCTCTATGACCATCGCATCTCTCTATGACCATCGCATCTCTCTATGACCATCGCATCTCTCTATGACCATCGCATCTCTCTATGACCATCGCATCTCTCTATGACCATCGCATCTCTCTATGACCATCGCATCTCTCTATGACCATCGCATCTCTCTATGACCATCGCATCTCTCTATGACCATCGCATCTCTCTATGACCATCGCATCTCTCTATGACCATCGCATCTCTCTATGACCATCGCATCTCTCTATGACCATCGCATCTCTCTATGACCATCGCATCTCTCTATGACCATCGCATCTCTCTATGACCATCGCATCTCTCTATGACCATCGCATCTCTCTATGACCATCGCATCTCTCTATGACCATCGCATCTCTCTATGACCATCGCATCTCTCTATGACCATCGCATCTCTCTATGACCATCGCATCTCTCTATGACCATCGCATCTCTCTATGACCATCGCATCTCTCTATGACCATCGCATCTCTCTATGACCATCGCATCTCTCTATGACCATCGCATCTCTCTATGACCATCGCATCTCTCTATGACCATCGCATCTCTCTATGACCATCGCATCTCTCTATGACCATCGCATCTCTCTATGACCATCGCATCTCTCTATGACCATCGCATCTCTCTATGACCATCGCATCTCTCTATGACCATCGCATCTCTCTATGACCATCGCATCTCTCTATGACCATCGCATCTCTCTATGACCATCGCATCTCTCTATGACCATCGCATCTCTCTATGACCATCGCATCTCTCTATGACCATCGCATCTCTCTATGACCATCGCATCTCTCTATGACCATCGCATCTCTCTATGACCATCGCATCTCTCTATGACCATCGCATCTCTCTATGACCATCGCATCTCTCTATGACCATCGCATCTCTCTATGACCATCGCATCTCTCTATGACCATCGCATCTCTCTATGACCATCGCATCTCTCTATGACCATGTCATCACGTGTGTCTCCCATGGCCCAGGTTGATGCAGCAGTCGTGTCATTCGCCCTCAAGCCACCAATGGAACGAGTCCACGTGGCATCGCCCACCCAGTTCTTCCACCCGTGCTCATGCCACCCGTGCTCATGCCACCCGTGCTCATGCCACCCGTGCGCATGCCACCCGTGCTCATGCCACCCGTGCTCATGCCACCCGTGCTCATGCCACCCGTGCTCATGCCACCCGTGCTCATGCCACCCGTGCTCATGCCACCCGTGCTCATGCCACCCGTGCTCATGCCACCCGTGCTCATGCCACCCGTGCTCATGCCACCCGTGCTCATGCCACCCGTGCTCATGCCACCCGTGCTCATGCCACCCGTGCTCATGCCACCCGTGCTCATGCCACCCGTGCTCATGCCACCCGTGCTCATGCCACCCGTGCTCATGCCACCCGTGCTCATGCCACCCGTGCTCATGCCACCCGTGCTCATGCCACCCGTGCTCATGCCACCCGTGCTCATGCCACCCGTGCTCATGCCACCCGTGCTCATGCCACCCGTGCTCATGCCACCCGTGCTCATGCCACCCGTGCTCATGCCACCCGTGCTCATGCCACCCGTGCTCATGCCACCCGTGCTCATGCCACCCGTGCTCATGCCACCCGTGCTCATGCCACCCGTGCTCATGCCACCCGTGCTCATGCCACCCGTGCTCATGCCACCCGTGCTCATGCCACCCGTGCTCATGCCACCCGTGCTCGTGCCACCCGTGCTCGTGCCACCCGTGCTCGTGCCACCCGTGCTCGTGCCACCCGTGCTCGTGCCACCCGTGCTCGTGCCACCCGTGCTCGTGCCACCCGTGCTCGTGCCACCCGTGCTCGTGCCACCCGTGCTCGTGCCACCCGTGCTCATGCCACCCGTGCTCATGCCACCCGTGCTCATGCCACCCGTGCTCATGCCACCCGTGCTCATGCCACCCGTGCTCATGCCACCCGTGCTCATGCCACCCGTGCTCATGCCACCCGTGCTCATGCCACCCGTGCTCATGCCACCCGTGCTCATGCCACCCGTGCTCATGACACACACACTGCCGCCCATGTATCGCCGCACACCCTGCCATCTGCTCTGTCGTCATTCCTGCCCTCACTCTCCTGCTTTCCCGCACCCCACCGTGGCGTGGGGGCAGGTGAAGAGGGCGTTCCAGGCGAAGCGCAAGATGCTGCGCGCGTCGCTGCAGCCCTCGTACTCGTCGCAGCAGGTGTCCGCTGCTCTCGAGGCACTCTCCTTGCCCGCCACTGTGAGTCACGTGCTGCCGTGAGAGGGGTACAGTGGGGAGGTGCAGTGGGTGCCGTGCTGACGGGGATGCAGCAGGTAAGCTGTGGTTGCTGAGTGATACCGTATCAACCTCTGCTGGCCCCCGTGAAGCGCACGCCACAGTGCCTCTCCTTCCACGCCCCATGATGAGCGCCTTGCTGCGCTGGCTGGCACAACCCATTGCACTCTCGTTGCACAGCACTAATGCGTTTCGCCACCTTCCACCCTAATTGACACTCGATCCAACCAGCCCTGCTAGTACCATGTTCCATAGCATCACACATGCACACACACCTTACTTGCACGCCTCTCACTGCCTGCACGCCTCTCACTGCCTGCACGCCCTGTGTGCAGGCCCGACCCCAGGAGCTGTCATTGGAGCAGCTGGTGCTGCTCTTCAATCAGCTTCATGGCCCGTAGCCGTAGCGCTGCGCTTGCATGCCCGGCATAGCTTAGTCAACCACCTTGTTGCTGCCATAAAACATATGTGGTAGTAACTGCTGTTTACGTAAATTGGTGTACAGTGTTTATCACAATAGAGTGTGCACACCTGCCTATCTTTGCCTGCTTGTGCCTGAGTGTAACTATACATAAGCTAGCAGTGGCCTGATCGTTACAGCTGATGTTCTCTGCACATTGCACCAGAGGTTGCACAAGCTGGTCAACAACCGCAGGGGAAGGTGAGGGTGGGCAGGGGAGAGAATGAGGAGGGCTGTCATGTTATTCTGTGATTTGAACAACCATTGTGACTGAGGAGACCACTGTGACAAGTCATTCACATCACCATAGCACTCTTAAACGTTACAGAATTGTTTCAAAGAGAGACATGGAAGGAAGCGATAGTATCGGTAACAGAAAGCATACCAGACCGTAATATGCAAAGAGCCAAATAAGTGGTACCAGTCTATATGGTTAGCAAGAGTGTCCATACAACACACATGAAGCAACCCAGCCCACAACCACCTAAACTTGATCCCTGCCCTCCGAGCAACCGCACAGAGTAGCTAGCACCGCAGTTATTAAATGGCACTGCCTCTTCAAAGCGTGAGTTGATGCTTTGAATCACACAACGAGCCCTTTCAAGCGGAACCAGCTCACCCCTGGAGCATAACACAGGGCAGGTGGGTCGGAAGAGCACTCAACAGAATGTAAACAAGTTGTTGTGAATGAATGAAACAAGGAACAGTAAGCAGATCATGTGGACAGTGGAGGAGTAGGGTAGGTGAACGAGAACAGGATGCACGGTGGTTGTGGTGGTGGAGGTTGTGGGAGAGGGGGTCGCGCATGATGCTTGCAGCAGCTGTGCATGTTAGGAAGATAAATAAAACAGGACAGAATCCTCTTCGCCCTCGCTCTTACGCTTGCACTTGTTGTTGGCCAGCTTGAACCCTTGTTTGCACTGGCACGTTGGCTTTCCCTTCACCACCATGCACCGCAAGTTGGCAGAGCAGGCAGGCTTGCACACAGCTGTCAAGCGGGTGGGGTGAGAGAGAGAGGTGGATGAATGGAGGATGAGCGGGAGAGACGGAGGACATCAAAGTGAGCACTCGTAGCATTGTTGTGGCATGTCATGGTTGCACGGAAGCGGGGGCAGAGCCACGTACCAGGGGGCTTCTTGTCGCAGTCCTTGTGAAACGTGGCTGTTGTTGAGAGCACAGAGGGGCACACCAGCCAGGCATACAAGGGGGGCGGGTGAACGGGGTCAGTAAGGCATTTCTGGCATAGGAGGGGCAAAATAAGGTTCATTCAAAGGGCTGTAGCTGAGTCTCTAAATTGCACACCCAGTCACTCCCATACAACTAGGAGTGGAAGAACACGTTATTGAAGGGGAAAAAAAACGTTAAGGTGAAGGTGACCTCTGTAGCAATGTGCAGAGCATACATTCAAAATGAAGGTGAAGAGAAGCCTTGGGTTATGCGCATGCGCTTCAAACAAGTTTCTGCGCTCCCACTTACTGATCTCGCAGCTGACTGATCGCGCCTGGGCTGCGTCCACAGTCCTGAGAGTGGCAAGGCAAGGGCAGGGCCGAGCACAGACAAGAGCACAGAGTTAACAGATGAAGACGAGAAAATTGCTGACTGGACCCTTTGTGGAACGCCTGACGCACAGAGGAAGAAGCAACAGTGCCCGCTGTTCACCACCCTCGCTCACGCTTTTGTGTCGGGGAAGGCATTGCGGAGCATCGCAGGGCGGGCGATGGTCAAACCCGGATTCTCCGCACACAGCGGGTCGGCGTGAAACGAGACGCTCTTGCACATGCCCTTGCCAGCCGTGAAATCCGCATAGCCCGTCCATCCCACTTGGATCTTGGTGGTGCTGCCGCCCAGGTCGCTGATGCTGGAGCAGGCGATGGCGCCCGTGGCGAGCGGCATGGGCACAGGGCTCTCAAAGGAGAGCAGATCCATGCTGTCACGGCCCTCCACCTGCACCACCGTCTGCAGCAAACCGTCTGCGCACGGTGGGCGTGGCACGCCGTCGAGACGGGGAAGAGAGTGGAATGAAGGGGCAAGAGGGCGGGGTGTGGGGAGGATTGAGGGATGGAGGAGAGCATGGCCGAGGCGAGTGATGCTCTCAGGGCGGCCTTTAAGGGGTTACAACAGTTGAAGCAAGACAAGGCGTGATTGCCTCACAATGAAATCGTGGCTGCAGCTCACCCGTGCAGCTCACCCGTGCAGCTCACCCGTGCAGGTGCCGTTCTGCATGATGTAGAGCCCGGGGCACTGGCACTGCGCCTGCCCATCTTGTGCCACGCACTGTGTCGTGTCGGGGCACTACACTGCCTCGCATGGGTCTGCAGTGCGCAGGCCGAGGGGAGACGGTGGAAGGAGGAGGGAGGGGAGAAGGGAAGGAGCAAGAACAGAAAAGTTCATTCTGGGCGGCAGCTGATCGTAAAACTTTGGGCAGGTGACGGCTCTTTCCTTTGACTGCCTGAGATCACAACTGACAGAGAGCATTCGGCCACGCCCGCACTGGACTCACTCCATACGTGCACTCACCCACACTCCCACTGCTCGCCCACACCCCCACCACTCACCAGTGCATGTCTTGCTCGTGTGGTTGAAAGCATAGCCAGCATAGTTGCAGAGGCACACGGGCGGCCCATCCTCGCGCGCCAGGCAGTAGGCGTCTGCCCCGCAGTCCACGGAGGCACACGCGTCTGCACGGCACTCGAGGAGGGTTTGTCGCAGGGCAGGGGGGGTTGGAAGAGGTGACATTCTGACTCGTTCTGCCTACTCTCGCTCTCAAGCACTGGTGCCGCCAGTGACTGGCAGCACTCACTCACCATCTCAAGCGCTGGCGTGGGCGAAAAAGCTTCTTGCAACCAAGGTTGGAAGCAGGAGCGTTAGAAGAACGAGTGCGAGAAGCAAGAGGTTCAAACCCAATTGGGTGAGCGAGCAAGAGTGAACTCCCACTTTTAAGACGTGTCACCGGGCGTGGCGACAGGAGTGCGACGGCGCTCACCTGCGCTGGCGTGCGTCGCGAGGAGGCTGATCGCAGCGAGCCCGGCGACGAGTGCGACGACGCCAGCGACAGACGGTCGCCCGCAGCGAGCCATCGCGACGGCACACGGAGAAGGTCCTTCAACCTCTTTCTAGTCGCGCGGAAAGGCGAACCTTCGTGACGACCTGCTGGGCCGGCGGCGATCGCTGGTGATTGCGAGCGATTGGTCTAGGTGCGATCAACAGGAAGTGAAATGAGAGACGCAACGCCATGGAGGAAGTCAATAGGAAGGGGAGAGGCGGGGTGTCCGCAATAATGCATCGGGGGATTCGTGGCGGACGGGCATGGCGCAGCAACGCGTTTCAATAGCGACCGCCGTCGGCGGCGAGGCCCCAAGGCTTGCATTCGCTCGAGCCATGCGCGAATGGTGCGCGCACGCAGGAGCGCGATGGACGGAGGGTCGATGGGCAGAGCGTATTGGGCAGAAGTCGATGGAACGTGGCGGAGGAACGTGATGAAGGGAATGGCGAAGGGGAACGATGGACGAAGTGAAGGGTTGGAAGCGTCATGGAGGGGCGGAGTGGGTGGATGGCAGGGACGCGTCACATGTACTCATTATAAATTCAGTTCTTATTCAGAAAAACATATATACATAATCCATCATTTCATATGCGATACCGGTTCTTTATCTGGGAGATAGCAGTACGGCATTGAAGTCGGATTACCCTTGCATAATCCTACGATATGAAACTGTTGCATAACCGTTCCTAGAAGTCACAAAGCTTTAACACGACGAAGGTTGAAGCGAGGGCAACGATAAAATATGGTTGAAGGAGAAAGTATTTGAGATCTAATGCAAGAAAAGGCAATTCAAACGGTTACCGAACTGCACGGTTTCTCGATTTATATTAGCCCTAAGGGGAGTGTACCTCCACAAAGTATGTTGTTCATATTCCTAACGAGTCGGTCGTACCCAAAGTTCCGTACGTAGAGGTGGTGGGGTGCCTCAAGTATGTGATGACTTGCACTCGTCCAGACCTGGCCTATGCTCTCACCATCTTGGCTCGTTTTGTTGTGGCTCGGAGACACATCCTTGCTCATTGGACGACCGCTAAGAGAGTAACGAGGTACCTCGTGAGCACACCAGGCTTCGGGCATGTGCTTGGGAAATGACAGCCAGTGGGCAGACGGCGACAAGGCTCGTAAGTCTTCTTAGGGCTACTGTTTTAGCCTTGCAGCATGAGCTTGTCTACTCGCTCGTCGTCAGTTGCTTTGTCCAGTGCTGATGCAGAGAACTACAACGTCCGTTTGCTGACTTTCTTGCTCGCTGACTAAGGGGAATTGCCCAACTCAGCCTCGGTCGTGTATGCTGTAAGCAGGATTATGATCCTCTTGTGTCAGAAGCCTAGGCTAGAGTGCAGAGTGAAGCATATCCAGCTGCAGTGGTTCCTGCTACGTGAGCTGCAGTGATGCGGCAAGGCATGTGTCAAATTTTATAAGTCTATACTAGGCTATAGTGGGGTACTCACTAGAAAGTACAACCTTTTAAGTTTCCCAGTGCAACACCATTTCGTTACCTAGGTTAGGTCTGCCCCACGCTGCCCCACGCTGCCCGTCGCGCACTGCCTTTCGCGTGCCTCGCGCCGCCGCGTGTGCCCCTAGCTATTTCGAGTACACTGCCTTGCACGTGCCGTTCGCGCTGCCCCAAGCGCACCCTTCGCGCTACCTCGAGCGCACCCTTCGCGCCGCTCCACACGCAGCCCTAACTGCGCCCTTCGTGCTGCCTTGCACGCCACCACTGCTCGTCCACCGCGCGCTACCCTGCCCCGCGCGTTTGCGCTGCCCTGTGCACCGCTCGCTGCCCCGCATGTTCGCCCTGCCCCGCACGTTCGTGCTGCCCATGCATTGCGTGCTGCCCTGCCGCACGCATTGGCCCTACCCCTGCCCCGTGCACCGCTGCTGCGTGGCGCCGCTGCGGCCCACGCGCCGTCCCTACCCCGTGCGTCGCTGCTACCGGGCCCCGCTGCTGCTGCCATTATACCCATAGCTCCTGCCGTTGCTACAGTTGTCGCTGTCAGCCACCGCTACCGCTACTGCAGCCGTTGCCGCTACTGCTATAACCGTCGTTTCCGTTGCTGCTGCCGCCACCGCTGCCGCTAAGGCCGCTGCTGCTGCTACTGCTGCTGCCGTCGCCGACGCTGCCGCAGCCACCTTCCCTGCCGCTACAGCTATAGCCGCTGCAGCCGCCGCCGCTGCGACTGCAACTATCGCCCCAGCTACTACAACCGACGCCGCTACCGCTGTAGCTGCCACCGCTGCTGCAGCTACAACTACCGCCGCTGCCGCTGCAATTGCTGCCGTTGCCACTACAGCTACCACTACAGCTGCTGTCGCCACTACCGTCGCTGCCGCTACAGCCGCCGCTGCTGTAGTTGCAGCCGCCCGCTACAGCTTCAGCCACCAACTCTACCACTGCAACTGCCACTACTAACGCTACAGCCGCCGCCCGTGCGCCGCACCGCCGCATTTACCGCCCATGCGACGTTATTGCCCGTGCGCAGCACCGTCGCCGCTGACCCCCTTACGCCACTATTGCTAAGCGATGCTGTCTACCACGGCGATGCCTACTGTACTAACCCTTGACGCAGAGCCCCCCCCTTTCGAGTACGGGTCCTAGTTGCTAGACCTTCACTAGTACCTGCAGAGCGTTATCAAGGACGATGCCATGTCGTGGTCCCTTTCCACCCCACCTGAGGAGACTTATCCTGACCCTACCGCTACTAAGTGTGAGGATCGAAGAACTGGTTCAGATTTTTTTTATTGATCACCTGGGTACAACGCGAGGCTATATTTAGTCTCAACACAAGGCCTAGTAACCAAGTGTTATGAGAAGATCCCGAGGGTTGCGACGCTTCCCGAATGGAGCTTCTTGAATTCGGTGGAAGCCGTTCGGCAAAAACATACTAGCACAAATTTGGTGCACGCAATCCTAGTTCGCTATTATAAATATAATAAAATACAGGAAAGTACTTAACCTAGGAAATCAAGAGAAAGCTCGCATGATAAAATAAGCTCAAGGTAGATAAAGCATAATAAGGTCAGCACAAGCAAGTAATGCCTAACAAGCAGTCGTACTCTTACAAACCCCCCCCTCAAAGCTGGGTGGCATGAGAAACACCACGCTTGACAAGACAATCATTGAGAGCGTGGCGTGCGTTGCCCATATCAGCTTCTGCAACCCAACTGTCCTCCGATGGGTCATATCCCTTCCAACGTATCAGGAACTCGAGCGTCATGCCGCGTCGGCATCCATGAGTAAGTACGCTTTCCATATACAAAAACAGGTTGTGCTGGCAGTAGCTATCGACTTTAAAACTGTTGGTTGGGGTCCTTGTAGGGCTTCAGTAGCTGAACATGGAAAGCATTGTGAAGCTTCCACGTGGTTAGTAAGCGAAATCGGGATGATCTGGTGTCGCCTTCTCTATAACGCGAAAGGGATCATAGAAGTGAGGCCAGGGTTTGGACAGAAGGTGGGACAAGTCTACATCTTATGCGCCAAGAAGAACTTGTTCTCCGACTGCCAGTAAGTGATCATGTCGCTGTCGATTGTCATACTGTCATAATCCCAGCCACTAACCACTGGGATAAAAGGGCTTGTTTGTGTGGCGGGTGAGTGCGCCCATAACCCCCTAGGCCGACGAGCCTGTAAACCTTCCCTAGGATCAATCGGGGATCTCCAGTGGACCTCTAACACCCTCTCGCACTGGGATGCCCGAGGTGCACACACTGGGATTCGAACCCGAGATTTTCATTCGGATACCATGTCAGAATCACTGCCACTAACCACTGGGATAGAAGGTCTTGTTCGTGTAGCGGGTGAGTGCGCCCATAAACCCCACGTCGACGTGCGTGTAACCATTTTCTAGGATCAATCGGAGATCTCCGGTAGACCTCTGACACATACTGCTTCCTGGAGTTCTGCATTCTAGTGAAACGTCGCTGAGTCCTCTCCCATAGTTGATGCATGGTGGTAACGAAGTATCGTGCGGCTTGGACATGTGCTGGTGTAGTTGGTTGCTGCGGTGTATGAAGTGTTGTTGTAACCGAACTTAAGTGTAGATCCTAGTGGCTGATGTTGTCTCTGCAATTTGTGCGCAGTAACTGTTCAACCACTTGATTGAGTCGCTCAGTCTGTCTATCCGTTTGGGGGTGGTATGCTGCAGACATCGCAAGATTTGTCCCCAACAAACTCGTGTTATCTTGTTGTTACACTTGCTAGGCTAGGTTAAGGTTCGGTATTTCTAGCCCTCCTTGCTAGGCCCGCATATTAGTTTTAGGGCATGCTGATGGATCAGTGTGCCCTGCCCAAAGTCGTGCCCAAATCAGTGTTGGGGGTTAAATTTATGCTGACTTTGTAAGTGTGAATTTTCAGGGGTAACTAAATGAGTCGTATAACAACTATCATCGCAATGAGTGAGCCTTGGTACTTGCGTAGCTGTCTAAGGTTTTGGCATGTTATCGTGAAGATCTCCATCTACGGGAGTCATATGAATGGGCCCTGTGTGTCAAAATATATATGCTTAAAAATTATATAGGCTATATGGGTGTTAGCACTAGGGGATACAGAACTTTTCTCGACATTGTTGTTGTACCTCTCCGTTGACCTAATCCAACATTCTCGCTTCTCTCTCGACATGGTAACAGAGCAGGTCCTTCCTAAGGACCGATTTTTTTTAAGGCCCACCAATAGTTTCATCCCTTCCCTAATTTTCTGCCCTGCCCTGCCCTGCCCAGCGCTTTTGCGCTGCCCTGCCCTGCCGCACGCAGCCATATAACCCACGCACAGCCCACGCGCAGCCCGTACAGCCCACGCAGAACCCGCGCGCAGCCAGTACAGACAGCCCGCGTGCCGCCCGCGCGCAGCCCGTACAGCCCGCGCACGGCCCGCGCGCAGTCCGTGCAGCCCGCGCCAGGCCCGCGCGCAGCCCGTACGATCTGCGCAAGGCCCGCGCGCGGCCCGTACAGCCCGCGCCAGGCCCGCGCGCAGCCTGTGCAGCCCGCGCCAGGCCCCTATGCGGCCCGTACAGCCAGCGCCAGGCCCGCGCGCGGCCCGTACAGCCCGCACCGGGCCCGCGCGCACCTGCCCTGCTGTGCGCGCACCTGCACTGCCGCGCGCACACCTGCACCGCCCCTGCGCTTCGCCGGCCCACTGCCTCTGCTGCCCTGCTGCCCTGTTGTTGCTGCATTACTGCCCTGCTGCCCTGCTGTTGCTGCATTACTGGCCTGCCGTTCACCTGCTGCTGCCGCCTTCGCTGCTGCTGCTGCTGCTGCTGCTGCTGCTGCTGCTGCAGTGCTGCTACTGCCCTGCTCCGCGCTGCTGCTCTGCACGCACGACTGCCCTGCCCTGCTCCGCGCTGATGCCCTGCACGCTCGGCTGCCTTGCCCTGCCCCCCACTGTTGCTCTGCTCGCCCTGCACTGTAGCCCGCTATGGCAACTGTCAGAGGGCTGTCCGATCCAGTTTGATACGTGGCTCGATGACTTACAGCTGTACCTACTGAGCGATTCTAGAGATAGCGTTTTGTTGTTTGACCACACGTCTGGAGCCTCTCTCGCCCCTCCCGACACAGCTGACAGTGCGACTCGCTCACAGTGGCTTACCCGTGACGCTGCTGCTCGCCTAGCTATTCGCAACCACCTGCCGCTAGCCGAACACGCTCACTATAGCCAGCACAAGACATCTAAAGCTCTGTACGACGCTGTAGTCGCTCGTTACTCCTCCCCTGCCACTGCTGCTCTCGGCCGCCTTATACTGCCCTACCTGTTTCCCGAGCTGTCCTCCTTTGCCACAGTCAATGACCTCATCACCCACCTTTGCACCAGTGACACTCGCTACTGCGCCGCTCTTAAAGCCAAATTCCTAGACAAGAACCCGCCCCTGATGTACATCACTCTCTACTTCATCGTCACCCGCCTCCCTGACTCTCTTCGCGCAGTCAGGGACCACTTTCTCGCCCTTGACCCCACGGAAATCACTGTCGACGACTTCAAGAAGCACCTCCTTATAGCTGAGACTAGCATATTCGCTGTAGGTTCTGCTCGTGGCACTCCTCACACTCCCTTCTTTGAGGGGTGTTCCCCTTCCCCCTTTGCCCCCTCCTACGCTTGTGCTGCTGCTGTTGACTTCCTTGGTGCTGAGGAGGTCGGGGCTGCGTATGCTTTTAGTGGGAGGCGCCGCAGCGGCAAGGGCAAGGGAGGCAAGAGTGGTGGAGGTGGCGGCGGGGGAGGCGGGAGTGGTGGGGGTGGTGGTGGTGGTGGAGGTGGCGGTGGGGGCGGTGGGAGTGATGGCGGGGGTGGGGGCGTCGGTGGCGGCGGTGGTGGTAGCGGTGGGAGTGGTGGCGGCGGTGGTGGCGGCAGTGGGAGTGGTGGCGGCGGCGGTGGCGGCAGTGGGAGTGGTGGCAGCGTCAATGGTGGCGGTCGGGGTGGAGCTGCTCAGAGCGGAGGTTCTGGCAGTGGCAAGAGGCAGCAGCAACAGCATCCGACCGAGACCCCTACGCCTCAGCAGCTTCGTGGGTGGTACGCTCTGCGTGGGGCGTCCGGGGGTAGTGTTCTTTGCACGTAAATCATTTGCACAGGTGACCGCGCTAGTCAGACATGTGGAATGTTTCACACCCATTACCACTGCTTCTCCCGTCTTGACAATGCCTGGCGCGCCAGTTTCCTGACGAAGCTGAGCTCCCCCGCTGTGAAGACCTGCTTAGGGCGTGGAACATTGCAACGAACATTGTGAATGTTTGTACGCATGCGCGGGTAGGACGATTTGCGAAAACTTTGGGGTAACGCTTAAGGATTCTGGTAGAGAGTACTTGCCCTAGCTTGATTTCAGTTCAAGGGTAAATCTAAAATGATCCAGTCCTCGACCTTGAATTTTTTTATCTCAGACCCATCCCCACTAGGATCTAATGTTTGGCGATTCCCACTGCATTCGCTAAACACTCTTGTCCCATCCGGCCCCGTGTGCTACACGGCCACACTCAAAAGCGGAAAGGGTAGTCAACATTTTTTTTCTAGAATAATGGGTGTAGCTTTCGAGAACCCTTGGGGCTGGCGAACATTGTGGTTCTTTTGTTCGAAATGTGTGGCGGGGCTCGTGTATGCGTTACATAGAGTTCGCAACTTGTCCAACCAACGCATACGACGAACACCAGCCATGTTCGTTGCAATGTTCCACGCCCTTAGTGCTGGTGTTGATATCTTTGCTCTTGACTATGATGCTATCCTTGCTGCCATGTATGCTATGATTGTTAGTGCTGAGGGTGACTGTTACCTGTGTGTGCCGCCCGACCCTGGTATAGAGGCTGCTGCTCTAGGTGCTAGTGAGTCTGCTCTTTCTGGTACTGCGCCTGCTGAGGCCTTGCACACCTTCACGCTTGACTCAAGTGCTTCCCGCTGTTTCTTTCGCGATAGCACCACCGTCACTCACACCACTCCCTGCACCGGCTGCAGTCTCTCTGGCTGAACCCTCAGGGGGCCCAGTTCTTGCACGTTCCACCACTGTTCTCCCGTTTCCGGTGGTTCCGTCTGGCTCACTATCAGGTCTTCACCTCCCCTCGTTCTCTACGAACTTGGTGAGTACCGCTGCCCTCCAGGATGCGATGGTCACTACCACCACTACTGGACGACAGCGTGTGGCGATCTGCACGTGTACACGGACGGGCCGCCACCTGGCCACGTTCACCCGTCGGCCTGGGTCGAGCCTGTACACACTGACTACTGAGCCTCCTCAGGTCGCTGCGTCTGGTCAGGTGTCCGTGTCAGGTCAGGTAGCAACTCCCTTGCTCGTGTCGCCACCTCTCGCACCAGACTCTCCTCTGGCACCACCGCCTTGGTCACCCCTCCTTGCCACGCCTCCGTGGCATGCATTCTCGCCTCCTTGTCTCTGGTCTTCCCAGGTCTCTGCCCCCCTTCCCGCACTCACCTGTCCCGTGCGTCGAAGGGCGGCAGCGCGCCGCTCCTCACTCCTCGTTTCCCCCGACAGAGGCTCCTCTGCAGACTCTCCACATGGACGTGTGGGGCCCAGCCTGCGTTCATGGACAGGACCGCGAGCGGTATTTTCTGCAGGTTGTTGACGACTACACGCGTTACACCATGGTCTTCCCCTTGCGCAGCAAGGGGGAGGTCCCTGATGTCTTGATCCCTTGGATCCGTGCTGTACGTCTCCAGCTCCGCGAGCGGTTCCGCACGGACCTTCCTGTCCTGCGTCTGCACTCTGACAGAGGTGGTGACCGACCTCTTGCGGGACTTCTGTCATGGGGAGGGCATCCTCCAGTCGTTCACGCTTCCGGCCTCCCCGCAGCAGAATGGGGTTGCTGAGCGCCGCATTGGCCTAGTCATGGAGGTGGCTCGTACCTCCATGATCCATGCAGCTGCTCCCCATTTTCTGTGGCCGTTTGCAGTCCGGTACGCTGCGCATCAGCTCAACCTTTGGCCCCGTGTCTCCTTGCCGGAGACCTCGCCCATATACTGTTGGTAGGAGGAGGTTGGCGATGTGTCGGTGTTCCAGGTCTGGGGCGCTCGTGCCTTTGTCCGCGATACCTCCGCGGACAAGCTCTCCTCCCGCGCCATTCCCTGTGTCTTCCTTGGCTTCCCCCCTGACGCGCCTGGCTGGCAGTTTTACCACCCCACCTCGCGCCATGTCATGTCCTCTCAGGACGTCACGTTTGACGAGTCGGTTCCCTTTTACCGTCTCTTCCCCTACCGCACTGCCCATCCCCCCCTCCCCCCCCCCGTTGCTCTTCCTCGCTCTAGGTTCCCCTCTGGTAGACCCCCTCCCCCCTCAGGGTCCTGCTCCTTCAGGTGTGTCTCAAGTAGACCCACGTCCGTTGGTTGAGCTTGTCGAGGTCACTGGTGACTCTGGTGCTGCTCGGGGTGCTGCGTCTGGGGGTGCTGAGCCTGCGGGTGCTGAGCCTGAGCGTGCGGAGCCTGGGGGTGCTGAGCCTGCGGGTGCGGAGCCTGGGGGTGCTGAGCCTGAGCGTGCAGAGCCTGGGGGTGCTGAGCCTGCGGGTGCGGAGCCTGGGGGTGCTGAGCCTGCGGGTGCGGAGCCTAGCGGTGCTGAGTCTGGGGTTATTGAGCCTAGGGGTACTGCTTCTACAGTACGGGAGCCTCTCTCACCGTAGCAGCTGCGCGAGTGGTACACTCAACGCACCCGCCTTCCGAGTGGCGCTGCTGGAGCTGGAGACCTTGGAGTTGCTAGTCCTGGAGGTGCTGGAGGTACTTCTAGTACTAGAGGTGCCGGAGGAGCTGGAGCTACTAGTCCTGTAGGTGCTCGTACTGGAGGTACTGGAGCTGCCGGAGCTGGTGGTGCTGCCGGTATGGGTGGTGCTGATGGTGCTGGCACTACTGGTCCCGGAGAAGCTCGTACTGGAGGTATTGGAGGTTCTCTCTCCCCACAGCAGCTTCGTGAGTGGTACACTCAGCGCAGCCGCCTTCGGAGTGGCGCTGCTGGAGACGCCAGAGCTGGAGGTACCGGAGGAGCTGGAGGTGCTGGAGCTGGAGGTCCATGTTTCAGCTGGTCCTAGAGGTGCTCATACCGGAGGTACTGGAGCTGCCGGAGCTGGTGGTGGAGCTGGAGGTCCTGAAACTGAAGGCGCTGGAGCTGGAGGCACTGGAGCTGGAGGTGCTGGAGCTGGAGGCACTGGAGCTGGAGGCACTGGAGCTGGAGACGCTGGAGCTGGAGGTGTTGGAGCTGGAGGAACAGGAGCTGGAGGTGCTAGAGCTGGAGGCACTAGAGCTGGAGGCACTGGAGCTGGAGACACTACTGCTGGAGGTACTGGAGCTGGAGGCACTGGAGCTGGAGGTTCTGGAGCTGCTGGTACTAGTACTGGAGGTGCTGGTGCTGGAGGAGCTGGAGCTGGTGGTACTGCACAGCGGCGACTGTTCTTCGCTCCGCCGTCACCGTCGTCTCTGCCACCGCCTGACTCCGTGCTTCGCCAGGTTCTTAGCCTCCCGTCTCTATTGTCCTCCCGTTACATCCAGGCTCCCCACTGCCTGCTCCTTCTCCTTACACTGAGCAGACAGACTCGCTTACAGAGCGTCGTGAGCCTGCGTCTCATCCTGCCTCGCCTGTTCGCGCTGTTCGCACTGGCCGTCTTGATCCTCGTCAGTGTCCTCCTCCTGTTCCTGGCACTCACACTATGACACTTCGTCCTTCCTCTGTTCCACAACGTGTCCCTCTGCTGTCTCCTCCTGCGTCATCTCTCTCACACGTTCCAGACCCTGAGTCTGACCTGGTTCGTGCTGCCAGCCCTACTGTCACGCGTCTCCTTGCCACTGTTGTCACTGACCCTTCGTTTGAGTCCGCTGCTGCGTCTGCCTTAGTTGCTGAGCTTGTTGACTTTGCTGCTGCTTCATCTACGCCGCTAGTCTTGTTGCTGAGTTTGAGTCTGTCTGTCCTCCGTCCGTCGGTGGTGAGTGTGCTCTTGGCACGGACGTCCTTGAGGAGAGGCAAGAGGACTTTGAGTGTCTTGCAGCCGCTGCGCCTCATCTCGTGGCCATGCTGCTTGCCTAGAATTGTCAAAATAAGAAGCTAGAATCATGTGAACCATGAGAAATGTGGGTACAAATGGAAACCCTAAAGGGGTTGTTCTGGATATTGGCTACCCGACTACAGCCTACATATTATAACAGTACACATACAGTTTGACACACCCCCTTAGGCAAAGTGGGGGAGAACAAGGGGTCACAAGACTAGTCAAGACAAGTAAAGCAAGCTCAGGGTGGATCACAACGTCACCACACTCTCTGAGCACAAGCAAAGGGCCACAAGGCTAGTTCACATGCAGAGGTATATATGCAACAACACAGTACAGTGATCACTACCTAGCAAGAGTAAGCATGCAGAGATATATATAAATCACAGTACAAGCAAAGTCACGAAGTGAGCAAGTGAGACGAAACAGGCACAAGGCCTAACATAGTACACAGTCGTTGATCATCACCAGACGGAAGTGCCTTGGTGAATATATCAGCAGTGTTGGCCCGAGTGGCCACGTGAGTAAGACGAAGCTGACCACGCTGCTGAGCGCAACTATTGAGCCAAGAAGTAACACAGAGCGATGTGCTTCGTTCTGTGCTCCAGTCTGTGCTCTTGCCATAAGGCAATAGCGGCCTTGTTGTCTACGTACAGAACTAGAGGAGAACGAGGCCGCTCTCCCAAGTCGGTCAGCAGGTAGGTGAGCCAGCGTAACTCCTGTGCAGCCATGGCTGTGGCGTAGATCTCAGCCTCACAATTGGAGCTGAGAACAGAAGACGAGCGGGTAGACCACCAAGAAACAGAGCCGCAACCAAGGCTGAAAGTGTAACCCTGTGACGACCGCTGCGTAGCTAGGTCGTCAACCCAAGACGCGTCTTGTTGTGTGATGCAACCATATGCATTCACGTCTGTCTGCCTCCCATCATTTATTCGTGTGTTGCATGCGTGGTGTGAGCGTATGCAAGAATTTGTGTTTTTGCGCGGTTTGGATTTCCTGAGTGTGTGTGAATGTCATTTGGCTTGAGCAGATATCTGAAGTGATTGCTCTGCTCAAGAGCTTTCCGACGAACCAAGAATCGTCGCGATCGGAG